ACCGCATATCTGATAATCTTATTGATACCACTCGAGGGTCAGTCAAACTGCTTTATCCAATCACATGTCTTGCCACCAGTATCGGGACATTGAATCCTTGGTTCAAATTCCCTTCCCTTTTTCAGCTGCCAGCTCATTAGCGTTGATCAGCCATGTTATGAGATCTTTTGGCCTTACGACGCCGTTATCCGTGACCAACGTTTTCAGTTTGATTGCCTTCCTTGATCAAGTCAGATATGCGTAACCGGTGTTGAGCGGACACCAAATACTCTTGAAAGTTTAATTCACCTATTCTCTCACAAAGCTCGTTAAAATTCAGCGAAGAATTATGACTCCTGCACATTTTTGCAGTATCGCACTTCCACCCCATGCATACCCTCGACTCATAGATGTATATTCAGCCACACATTGACATAGCCTATCAAGCAGGCTTCGGCATACTAGCCATAATTTACACTTGGCTATCAGAGGCTTGCGCAACAGGAGATTTCTATAATAACCCCTCGTGAGTGGTGGTTGATGGAATCACATCTCATCAAATCACAACACATTGCATTAATGCAAAGAGCTTGGGCGGACGTGTTTCTCTTGCAGGAGTCTCTGATATGGATCCTGACTACCGTATGATTAATCCACCACTCCCCCCTTATATTATCATAACTTCTGAAAATCTCATGATGGATCTAGGATGAATTTGAAATCCCGACGTCAGTGGCCGCCACTCTCTCCAGTGTGATTGTCTTCCCATCAATCTGAAGTCGAGGGGAGATATACGGGATGACGACAGAATTTCACCAGTTAGAGAAACCCCGTTTGAGCTTTGATCCACAATTGGAACCGGTAAGTAAACGTCTTAGGCGTTAAGTTCCACGGCAGGCGAACTTCTCCCCGTCAACAGAATGAAATCTTCAGGGCGAATGCAGCAAAAATGGACGATTGACGACGATGATGATAACGTCCGTTACCCGACCAATGACATCCAGCCAGGTAATGGCCAGTTGAAATAGACGTAAACTCAAGATTAACTCGTCATGAGATCTTGGAATCTGTCAGGGTATTAGCCCGTTGTTTCAAATTCGACTAGACGCTACGGCAATGTAAAAGGACAAGGGGCAAAACCAAATATTGAAGCCCATATAAAAAAGGAATACGAGGAATCGTATGCCGGATCCAATCACTTCTTGCCAACGAAATCAAGAATCACACGGTGGAATGTTCCGACAGCGAAACCAATTTGTAGCTCATCATCTCATTTAATACTTGCTGGTTGCAATCGGCAGGGATGTTTGATGGCAAATCTCTCTCGGCATCAAAGGAATGTTGCGGTGGGAAATGAATGCTCGATATCAACTCATCGTTCTGGCAATTTGCCAATGAAAGCACGATATCATCAATTAACAAGGGAGGTCTTGAAACTAACACACTAGAAGTATATATGTGTATTGCACAGATATTGGTCACTCTGAACCCCTGCGTCTCACACCCAAGGTCATTCCTGATCAGGTGAACCCATATAACTACAGCAATGCACAAAAGTCAGACGCAGCGAGGAATCTAGAAAATTCAAATCGAAACACGTGGGCCGCTTGTACCTAACCGAGCCCTTCTCGGTCTGAAAAACTCTAAGAAGCGGATTAATTTGTTCTCATATATTTTATAAATATATCGTATTACAGGATATTTGAATACAAACCTCCCTTTTTGTTAGCTTCAAGAATTGGCCCGGACCCCAGTAACCAGTAATCTGATCTCAAGGCAATCCACAAAAATTAAGTAGTTAACGGCCGAAACAAACAGCGGCCCGTGGGCCTTTTCCCGTGTAGCAATCCCCATACTTTCTCCATAGTCCCTCTTTGCAACATAGTACGCTCGCACTGCATCCCCGTCAAAATGCTGTGACCTTGTGAGAGGGTAGTCAAGGTAGCTGAGCAGGTTTTTCGAGAGTTGCATCATCTCGTCATTTGCCCCTGTTGCGTTGATCGAACTTAACATCTCACATAGTCATCTATTCTTTCTGTGTTTAACATGGGCATTTCCACGCGTTTGCATGGCGCCTAGACAATATAGAACCGTAATTGGTTAGCTTGCCAGCTCAAGGGTCCAAAAATGCTAGAGATAAAGACACTGTTTATGCAGGTGGCTACCAGGAGGTAGGCGGGTGGAATCCAGAATCCAGGGCGTGATTTAACCAGAGGGCTTGGGTTCATGCATTTATGAATCAGCATTAGAAAAAAAGCGACGTAGGTTCTCAAACATTGCCCTGGCCAACAAACAACCTTCAATTTCTATAATCACCATATGCTCACGTATGTATGTATGTATGTGCAGTTAAATTTGCAATATCGTGGATATGGAAGAAGTTGCATGACGCCAAAACCCCCCATGACATACTTTTTTTTTTCCGACTCTTTTCATAAGGTTATCTGTTCCCATTTTTCTGCAGCTTAAATCCATAACTTAACAGAGGATATATCAAGCATGAAACACTGAAACAACAGTAAACAAAGAGAGCAAGTAGATAGAAAGTGAGGACGAAAGAGTGAACCGGAAAAGATCGGAAAATAAAACTCCTTGAACACGAGGACCGGAATCGTCTGAGGAGAAAACGAGGATGATGCAGCCCCAAGCTCAAGAGCACAGATCTCAGCGCGGGGCAAGCAGGGAGCCCATCACCAGCAAGGCGTCAATAACATGCATGGCAATGCCGCAGTCAACGGCTACCCATGTGATGACTGAAAGGGAAGAACAGAAAATACATCACTGAAAGTATCAGGTGAAGGATAAAAGAGAGGCGATGTAGTACTTGGATGAACCGGTATATACGTATGTACCGTAACTACATAATTAACTTCCTGCACACATAGTTTATATGATACCGTTTAGGTCAGCCGAAGGTCCTTTTTATAATCGCTGAAACTATCCTATTCAATCCCATCGGAAGCTGTCCTTCCTATTTTGATCCATGAAATGATAAGAGTGGTCACGACAGAAGAGGAGAAAGAAAGCAATAGTCAAGGGAGCGTGAAATAAAATAATAAGGTTAATTTCTTTCTCGTGAAGAATGTGCTTCTTAAAAGTTGTCCCGGGCCGTGCAGTCGGGTGGCTGACCGTGAAAAATTGAGGGGATTTAGACGCCGCAGACAATTCGCCAGATTGTACGACAGCGACCGTACATGACCTGACAGGGGATAACAATGCAACACAGTATCTTCGTTGTGGAGTTGATTGCTTGGCATGCTTTGCTTTGCTGTAAGGTTGGTGTTGTTTGCCAATTATGGGGAGGATACCTGCAGCGGCCAGATATCGGGTTCTTTGAAGTAGTTATGCGGAAAAGATAGGTATTGGTAGCCGCTCAAAGTTTCTGCCCTACTGGCCCAGGATGTCATGCCGTGCCCCAGACTTCCAACGTCGATGGCTCGAGGGATCCTGTTTGCTTGTGAGAGGGAGCCAAATTCTAGGTATAAGAAAGGTGTCAACGACGTCTGCTATTTCTTGTTTCCTAAAGGTTCAATCTGTGGGAATAACAGTGAACAAAGAAACGATGTTAATTCACCTTATTGCTATCTCACTTGATCGTTGGACATTTCAAAAAGACAATCGTAACTCACATCATCAAAAAGACCTAGGGCATAGTAGTTAGGATACACCCACCCCTAGCCGCCCAAGAGGCAATACCAAACACGAAGACCATCCCAAACCCAAAAGGACACAGCCATGGAGAATACAACCATCACATCCGCCTTCCCAGCCCATCATGAGGTCCCAGACCCAGAACCCAATGCTATCCTGATAAGCAAGCGTGGAGATGGCATCACGACGATCGCCATCAACCGCCCAGAAAAACGAAATGCCATAAGCATCCCAACAGCCAAGAAGCTTCACGCAGCATTCCTCGACTTTGAATCCGACACATCCCAGAAGGTCTGTGTATTTTACGGCACCGGAGGGACGTTTTCAGCCGGTTTCGATCTAACACAGTTGGAGACTTGGGACCGGCCCGCATCAGACACCGCCCGACATTCCAGCATCACCCGAACATACTTTGAGCCAGTCCGCGGCGAAAACATTGGTCCACTCGGCCCAACTCGTATGCATGTTCGAAAACCAGTTATATGTGCTGTCTCTGGCTATGCTGTTGCTGGTGGACTCGAGTTGAGTCTTCTTGCGGATATGAGGGTGGTAGAGGAGGACGCTGTATTTGCGGTCTCCAGTCGGAAACTTGGGGTCCCGTTGCTGGACGGCGGGACTGTAAGACTGCCGCAGATCCTGGGTCTAGGGCGAGCCTTGGATGTGATATTAACGGGAAGACCTGTGAAAGCAAAGGAAGCTCTGGAGCTGGGGTTGGCGAGTAGGGTGGTGCGGAAAGGCCACGCGCTGGAAGAAACAATGAAGCTTGCCCAAACACTTATGGCTTTCCCACAAGAGTGCCTGAATGTTGACCGACAGTCGTGCTATTACAGTGCATACAGTGCACATTCACTCGAAGACGCATTGTCTCAGGAGTTTGAGGCAGGTACTAGAGTTAGTGATCTCGCCATCGAAGCAGGGCTCGGATTTGTTCAGAAATCGCGGAGGCAGTCGAAGCTTTGAAACGAAAATGATTCCATGATTCCTGGCAAATAAACCTCCAAGACAAAATCTTCAAAATAGAACCTCGGGTCCGGAAACTAACCAGAGAAATGGCGGCCAAAGGCCATTGCCCTTGCATCTTCAACTCATCAACGATTATTCCTTTTGCAGTTCAGTCTGTAGAATCCATTCCATGGACTTTCCTCTTGTTATCTGTGTCGGCTCCGTCGACAACCGCAACAGCACATATCCCACTTCATGTATTTTGAATGTCACGACACGAAATCATTTATATAATCCTCTATTTCTTTTATCATCTTCCCTTCTACTTTTGAGCTGTAGCTAGTGAGCATTAGTATGGTAGCACATCAATCAAACACTGTTCACAAATTAACAGTGTGTCAGGAGGCAACATCAAGATATTGAAAATACTATGCAACGATGACTGCAGAATGTCCTTGGTGGACAGGAATCCTGATGGCCAATTCCTCAGCCTGTTCAAAGGTGATGGGCATTCCGCCCTGAATAAAGATATCAATTGTAAAGTGTCGAGCGAGCTTGCTGATGCTTGAACCAGCTGGAGCAGAAGTGGTTGCTCGCTCTCCGCAACACCCAACGGGTCCATTAACATGGGCAATGACAGCTATCCGACGCTTACCTCTAGAATACATGATCCAAACACACAGGTGGATGCCGTGTTCTATCTTAAGCAACTGGAGCATGGAGGATAGTGAAGAAGTTGGACGCGGAGGAGGAAGAACAGTGCGGGGACAACGGCAACTATTACATCATCAGAACTAACTGGAGTTTAACTACCCCCCTCTTTCTAGTTGCACACTGCTAACTCTCAGCTATTAAGAAAAATATTATATCAATTGCAAGACAGGAATAAGAGATACATAAATAGGTATCCTTGGAGATATCGTGAAATGCCTCTCGCCAAAACTATATCTTCGATTGCCACTCTCGCCGTTTGTTGAATGGGCCGGATGGGTGAGTACAACCTCCTGCCTGTCATCACATAGGTATGTCTCAATTCCAAGTTGACTAACAATCCAAAGGTGTCATTCACCGCCGAAAACAACAGTAATACATCATATATGCTGTACAAGCCTCTCATTCCCCCTAAAGACCACATTTTCAATCCAAAAATAAACCCAAAACCAAAACCAAAACCAAAACCAAAACCAAAATGCCACCATCAATTCGCATCATCGGCTCCCTAAATGTCGACCTGGTCTCCGTAACCCCCCGCTTCCCCCTCCCCGGCGAAACTCTCAAATCCACCTCCTTCAACACCCA